TCACAAAAATCCTGCTTGAGTATTAAATAAGTAAATAGATATTTTAATTACATTTGGCAAATCTATTCATGTTATACTAAGCTATTATTATTTTACTAAAAAACACAATTTATTACCCTCCCTGTAGGCAGCAAACCTAGGTAATCGTTAAACCTAATGTTATTTGAATTTGAATTATTAGCGAATTTCCCATATAGGGAATAAGCTATTACCGTAGGTCTCATGGTAAGACCTAGACCCGGGACCGATTTACTTTTTCGTTTTGAGGTCCCCAGAGGCCAAAAACACCATCCGTTCAAATTCATATATATATATATATATTTATATATGTGTCCGTTAGCGCGATAACTCGAGCAAAATTGATCCGATTTTGATAAAATTTGGTACAAACGTGTAAACCTACATTTATTCAAACGAGTTCGCGAACCAGCATAATTGGACCATGGGATCAGGGGTTTATGGAGGGTTTTATGGGGTAAAAATGGGTTTTTCTCATTTTTGACCCTAAAAACTTTAAATATCTAAATTTCTCTCTAGACCATTTTGAAGAGCTTAAAAAAACTAATAATTTAGTATATTGAAGTTTTTTTGAATGTTCATTGACTACGGAGAAAATTTAAGAAATTGTAAATTTAAAATTCCCATGTTATTCTTATGGAGAATAAATAAACTGTTCTAGTTTGCTTGTTTATGGATATATTTCACTCAAATTTGGCAATTTGGCTTATTTCATACTAAGCTATCAATATTTCAATTGAAAAAAACACACCTCAACATCTTTCCCGTAGCAGCAAACCTAACTACTCACTAAAATTAATGTTATTTAAATAGGAAATAAATCTGAAAATTTATAGGGAATATTTTAGTAGAAATCAAGCCGGGTGAATGGAAATTCTCTTAGTATTATTATTTATTATTTATTTATTATTTATTTGTCATGAGAGCCGAAGCCCCCTGACTACATACCCGGTACCTATCCGTTAGGACATACCCGGGCCCAATGATGTAGGCCGAAGCTTACGCATCAACCTTTAGCACATCATGGGCGGATGACTTAAGGTCATCAGGCTCGCCGGCTGCCGAAGCAGACCCTTCGGAAGGAGGGTTGCCCCTCAATCCTAACCAGGGATTCCGGCTGCTTGTTTAAGCGTCACTCCACCTGGGTTCCACTAGGTCAGGACCTAGAGGTCCATGGTAGAGCGCCCCGACGCATTTAGTGCAAGCAACACTCGGGACCTATCTAATCCCTGACAGGCAGAACCCGCCATCGATAGCCAGGAGGAAGGGGACCGTCAGCACGCTGACGGGGGGAACCCCAACCTCCCATTTACACCACTACCCGATCGAGGCCTTACCCATTGCTGGGAAACCAGAGATAACCAGAGCGATAGATCCCCAGATACCCCTGGCGGGCTCGGACCCAGCACCCGATCTACTTCGTTTGCCCGTCAGACCCAACATCACTGCCAGGCCATCAGGGTTTCCCAAAAGGAGGCAGGTATAGAAGTGGGACCCACCCGGATGAACCTATCCACCAGAGGTGGCGACACCCTTGACTCAATTGAGGTTCCGGGAAGAACCCCCCACACTCAAGATAACCATACCGTCCGTGCTCAGAGACAGGGATTGGTTTGCATAAGTGCCTACAAACCGTTGCCCTCACACTGCGGAAAGTTACGTTGCCCTTGAGTGTCCCCGTGAGCTACGGGTACTTGCCCGTTTTCACCTCCAGGAAAGGTTACTTCCAAAGTCGAGGATTTGCCCACTGAATGCTGGTCGCACACAACAAGCAGGCCGAAGCCCAAAGAACCACAGACACAGGTAGGTTAGAGATTATGATGCACTTCCATCTCTCCTAGAGCTAAACACCCCTCCATCCTGGATAAAGGAATGTCACTGGGACCCAATGCCCAGTCGTCCATGTCTGTGGCCAACTTGAAAATGCCGATACCAACACGGAGCATTTACCTCCCCTCTGGGGGCTAAGTATTTCACCTCCCAGGACGAGGCTACTTCCAAAGTCGAGGATATGCCTCACAAAATGTCAGTCGTACACAACAGGTAGGACTCAGTCACAACCACAAGCTACAGGCAGGTGAAAGATCTATGAACTTAATCAACACTAGCAGAGCTGAACACCCCACCACCCTGAATGGAGGGAATGTCACTGGGTACTCTCACTTTGGGTACAACCCAAAGAGGCTGGCTTGTCCAGTCGTCCATAGCTTGTGGTCTACCTGAAGTGCCGGTTCCAACACCGGGCAATTACCTCCCCTCTGGGAGAGCTAGGGTCCGCGTGGTCGCCCAGGCCACGAACCCACGCAAGCGTGGGCCCCCTGCGGTTAAATTCTCTTAGTATGCAGGTTTGCTTCGACGGGGGTATTTTATCTTGTTTCACGGACACACACATATATATATATGTATATGTATATATATATATATTAGCCGCTATACCCATGCCTTGCAAAGGGGTCAAGATGCAGAAGAGACAATTTTGGTTCCTTGAAAATAATGGCAAGCAGCTTGAGAACGCTTTTAGGTTTTGGGAATGCTAATGGTTTTTATTGCCCCACAACTCTAGTAATAAATTATGAAAATCCTAAACAATCATCTGATAAACCTTTTTATGTGCTCCTAACCAACGACAGTGAATTGAAAGTAATTAATTGTTATAATCTGTACCGGAACCGACTACACTAGGTAATTATGCTAGTACCTTGGTGCACTGCAGACCAAGAACTGAATGCATTTATATGCTTTTAAAAGTTTTAAATAAACAACCCGTTATTGTGTTGGTTGGAAAAAAGTAACCAGTTGTGTTACATTATTTTGTCAAAATGTTGCTGCAAACATCTTTATTCCTAAAAATGCTTTACCTAATTTTTAACTACTTTATTATGGCTATGACATGCTATGACCTATCATAGTTGTAAAATAGGTTAACTTTATTAGGTAAACTTTATCTTAACTGTTTTTCTTGACATAATCATGTTAGGAGCCAAAGGTGTTGATAATGTGTGATACTGTAATTGTTGTTAGAAAACCATAAATGTAGGAAATTATTCATTTTTATAGTAATATCAATTAAATAAAATGAGAAAAATACTGGAAACCCTGTACTGTACTCATTTTGTACCAGGAACAAATAAAATAGGTAAGGGCAAAAATTGATTATTTTAAAATGTTACATTGGTTAAAATCAGAATTATTAACCTTAGTAGGGTTCCAAAACTGTGATTGGAAAATTCTTTGGAGTCTATCATAATAACATAAATATTTGCTGGGTAATATTTGATATTCAAAAATATTATGAAGTATTCGATTCAATTCGATTTGAACCCAAAAATCACTATTCGCACACCCCTAATACTATGTAGCCTTGACTTTTATGAGATCAATAAATAACGAGTATGCCTAGAAACTGGTGGTAATAATTCTTTTCAAATTATTTAGGGGAAAATGAAATTATAGCCTAAGCTTAAAAATATATATGGAATCTTTTTCTAACCTGAAACTACATCCTCATCAAGCCCCACATTCCTTTCAGCCCCACATCAAACGGTTGGCCTAAAGAATAGAAGCATTTTGTAGGTAATTAAATGCTCTATACATGTGATTGGGATACTTGTTATCCTAGAATATTTCATTACTGAATTAAAGCGATCTAAAGAAAGAGATTTGGCAAAATAACAAAAAAATTTACGTTTTATTGTAAAATAATTTGAATATTTTCGTATCCATAAGTCTTAGAACCAAATTGTTATACTTATATTATAGGAAATTTAATTGTCTACAACATTGCAATTACATATTTTTCGCTAAAAGCACCAAAACGGAGATATAGGCGAAAATCTCTAGAAAGTACCAATTTCTTCGATTTTTCAATATGGCAGCGGGCGCGGAGGGGGTAGAATTGTGCATTTTGCGGTTTTAACAGCTACTTACCATCCTAGACAACATATAAAAAATTTAGACTTACCGGACCGTTTGTAAGTTAACCCCCCTATTTCTGTCTCTATTTACTGGACTAGTCTGACTAGACCAATAGTTTTCACATCAAGCTCTTAACAGTGAATGCTTCAAATTTGCTGTATACACCACTACACCTCAACTCAGTCTGACTAGACCAATAGTTTTCACATCAAGCTCTTAACAGTGAATGCTTCAAATTCGCTGTGTACACCACTACACCTCAACTCACAATGACTAGACCAATAGTTTTCACACCAAGCTCTTGTGCCATATGACTTATATTACAAAAGAAACATAAACCATCTGTTTCCAGAGAGGAAACAACAGGTAAACGGCTGGTGATCCATATTGATTTGAAAAAAATAAAAAAAATAAAAGACCTGAGCATCAATCTTGCACCAAGAAATTAATGATCCCTTTGTGGCATCGAATGGAACCCTGCTCACCAAACCAAAACGATTCAGAACCTCTAAAATTACTTTAGAAAAATCATAGGTCAATCAGGAACAACCATACTCATAAACCAGTATATTGCTTTACCCCCAAAAACGTCAAGGGAGGATAGTGATTGTCATGTAATCTGAACTTGTACTTGTAGAATTACTGTCATGGATCTGAAAGAGCTACTATCTGAGTCCTTTAATCATCATTATTACCATAATTATCAATACATCTCAAATATTTTTGTACAAAAACCCAGTATTATTAGTTTATTAGTATAGCACGTTCATCTATTTACACTTGACTCTGTACATTGTACTTTGAATTGTATTATCTCCATTGACCTGGCCTATTGTATGACATGTATACTTAATGGCAATAAACTACTTGAATTTAAATCATTGTTATCACTACAGTACACTGTATCAGAGTTTCACAATTTAGGATCTGAGAATCTAGAATATAGATATCCTTAATGCTGTTACTGACTGTTTGGACTAGTCAATTACAAATCAGAGCACTCAATTTTAAAATGTTTTAAAGTATACCCACCTCTTTGTCTCCTGACAGATCATTTGTCATTTCAGCTCCATCTAGCAGCTCTGGCATCTCTGAGAGGTGAGATCCTCGACCTGACATCGCGATTGCATGCTGTTACACACGAGCGAGACATGCTGGAACGCACAGTCGCGCAGACTGAGAGCTCGGTTGCACAGCAGTATGAGGAACGTCTCACTGAACTTCACTGTGTCATTGCTGAACTTAGTCGCAAGATGGAACGCCAACGCACTTTGGTCATTACAGAAGAAGAGGATGTAGTTTCAGGTTAGAAAAAGATTCCATATATATTTTTAAGCTTAGGCTATAATTTCATTTTCCCCTAAATAATTTGAAAAGAATTATTTATTACCACCAGTTTCTAGGCATACTCGTTATTTATTGATCTCATAAAAGTCAAGGCTACATAGTATTAGGGGTGTGCGAATAGTGATTTTTGGGTTCAAATCGAATTGAATCGAATACTTCATAATATTTTTGAATATCAAATATTACCCAGCAAATATTTATGTTATTATGATAGACTCCAAAGAATTTTCCAATCACAGTTTTGGAACCCTACTAAGGTTAATAATTCTGATTTTAACCAATGTAACATTTTAAAATAATCAATTTTTGCCCTTACCTATTTTATTTGTTCCTGGTACAAAATGAGTACAGTACAGGGCTTCCAGTATTTTTCTCATTTTATTTAATTGATATTACTATAAAAATGAATAATTTCCTACATTTATGGTTTTCTAACAACAATTACAGTATCACACATTATCAACACCTTTGGCTCCTAACATGATTATGTCAAGAAAAACAGTTAAGATAAAGTTTACCTAATAAAGTTAACCTATTTTACAACTATGATAGGTCATAGCATGTCATAGCCATAATAAAGTAGTTAAAAATTAGGTAAAGCATTTTTAGGAATAAAGATGTTTGCAGCAACATTTTGACAAAATAATGTAACACAACTGGTTACTTTTTTCCAACCAACACAATAACGGGTTGTTTATTTAAAACTTTTAAAAGCATATAAATGCATTCAGTTCTTGGTCTGCAGTGCACCAAGGTACTAGCATAATTACCTAGTGTAGTCGGTTCCGGTACAGATTATAACAATTAATTACTTTCAATTCACTGTCGTTGGTTAGGAGCACATAAAAAGGTTTATCAGATGATTGTTTAGGATTTTCATAATTTATTACTAGAGTTGTGGGGCAATAAAAACCATTAGCATTCCCAAAACCTAAAACCATTAATATTTTATGACGACATTGTTGTAGGCAAGTCAAGTACTTCCAAGAACTGGTTGAGTCAGTAGTTTTGCTCTATAAAGTTAAAAAGTTTTATCACTTTTATTCCTTGACGACTTCCATGATTTATTTCATTTAATGTTTAAAGAAAAAGTCAGAATAGAAATACTAGTAAGGCAAAACAAACAATAGAAGGGTGGGATGGGTTGGTGCAACCTTGAAGCTATATTTAGAGTAGAGGGGTGGCTTGGCCTGGGATTCTAATAGCAGGACAATGATACATAGTTGTATTTTCGGAAATCCTTTGCCCGGTTTGACTTCAGATTCTCTTTTTCAAGGATTACCAACAGGGTGCAGCACTATTATTTCTTTTACATTTATGACAACAGCTAATTTGCAACCAAAAGGTGAGTGAGCGTAGCGAACAAACTTCAACCTGGAGGCGAGTTAGCGTAGCGAACGAGCTAACCTGAAGGCAAGTGAGTGTAGCGAACGAGCTAACTTGAAGGCAAGTGAGCGCAGCGAACAAGCTCCAACCTAAAGGTAAGTGAGCGTAGCGAACGAGCTCCAACCTAAAGGTGAGTGAGCGTAGCGAACGAACTTCAACCAGGACGTGATTGAGCCATTACATTACATTACATTTACATTTACATTTGTTGTCATGAGAGCCGAAGCCCCCTGACTGCTTACCCGGTACCTATCCTTCAGGACATACCCGGGCCCCATGATGTAGGCCGAAGCTTACGCATCAACCTTTAGCACATCATGGGCGGATGACTTAAGGTCATCAGGCTCGCCGGCTGCCGAAGCAGACCCTTCGGAAAGAGGGTTGCCCCTCAATCCTAACCAGGGATTCCGGCTGCTTGTTTAAGCGTCACTCCACCTGGGTTCCACTAGGTCGGAACCTAGAGGTCCATAGTAGAGCGCCCCGACGCATTTAGTGCAAGCAACACTCGGGACCTATCTCATCCCTGACAGGCAGAACCCGCCATCAATAGCCAGGAGGAAGGGGACCATCAGCACGCTGACAGGGGGAACCCCAACCTCCCATTTACACCGCTACCCGATCGAGGCCTGACCCATTGCTGGGAACCAGAGATATCCAGAGCGATAGATCCCCAGATACCCCTGGCGGGCTCGGACCCAGCACCCGATCTACTTCGTTTGCCCGTCAGACCCAACATCACTGCCAGGCCATCAGGGTTTCCCAAAAGGAGGCAGGTATAGAAGTGGGACCCACCCGGATGAACCTATCCACCAGAGGTGGCGACACCCTTGACTCAATTGAGGTTCCGGGAAGAACCCCCCACACTCAAGATAACCATACCGTCCGTGCTCAGAGACAGGGATAGGTTTGCATAAGTACCTACAAACCGTTGCCCTCACACTGCGGAAAGTTACGTTGCCCTTGAGTGTCCCCGTGAGCTGCGGGTACTTGCCCGTTTTCACCTCCAGGAAAGGTTACTTCCAAAGTCGAGGATTTGCCCACTGAATGCTGGTCGCACACCACAAGCAGGCCGAAGCCCAAAGTACCACAGACACAGGTAGGTTAGAGATTATGATGTACTTCCATCTCTCCTAGAGCTAAACACCCCTCCATCCTGGATAAAGGAATGTCACTGGGACCCGATGCCCAGTCGACCATGTCTGTGGCCAACTTGAAAATGCCGATACCAACACGGAGCATTTACCTCCCCTCTGGGGGCTAGGTATTTCACCTCCCAGGACGAGGCTACTTCCAAAGTCGAGGATATGCCTCACAAAATGTCAGTCGAACACAACAGGTAGGACTCAGTCACAACCACAGTTACAGGTAGATGAGGAGAGGCGGAATTAACGGCGTCACTGAGAGCTAAACACCCCCCCCACCCTGAATGGAGGGAATGTCACTGGAGGCTCCCCCTAAGGGGCTGGCGCTTACCAGTCGTCCATAACTGTGGTCTACCTGAAGTGCCGGGTCTGACACCGGGCAGTTACCTCCCCTCTGGGAGAGCTAGGGTCCGCGTGGTCGCCCAGGCCACGAACCCACGCAAGCGTGAGCCCCCTGCGGTTCAACGTGCGGGTACGTGATTGAGCCATGCGAACGAGATCATCTTGAAAATTAAGAAGTTAAACGGGGCAAAGCCCGCGGGACTATAAATAGTCAAAGGCAAGACAACGTCTGCCGGGTTCAGCTAGTATATATATATATAAAAATTTGAACGAATGGTGTTTTTAGCCTCTGGGGACATCAAAATGAAAAAGTAAATCAGTCCCGGGCCTAAGTCTTACCGTGCCACCTAAATTATTTTGATCAAACTTGGCAAATTTATTTATTTTATACTAAGGTATTATTTTTTTACAAAAAAATACACTTTATTAGTTTACTTGTAGCAGCAAACCTAGGTACTCATCAAACCTAATCTATATATTAATACGCAAGCAGGTTTCTTTTCACAGTCATAACTCGATAACGGCTTAACGGATTTTAACGATTGAGGTGTCAAATTAAAGGTATTTTTACGTAGATGTGCAAATACGTCTCAGAATATTAAGAAAGGGCATCACTTAAGTACAGTTAAGGGCTAAAGTTTGGGAACGGCGGCGCTATCTGTTGACATTAGATCAAACTGTCAAACTCAATTCCCTTTGTTTACAACTAAACATATGGACGTAGTTTGAAATATTTTTTAAGTTTAACCACAGACTGCAGCAGGACTTATTACATCCAGAGCAAAGCCGGAATTTTATATTTGTATTTAAACATCTGTTAACTAAGTCTGGGTCATACATAAAGAGTTTCCTATTAAGACCTGACAACAAAAATTGTTTGTAATACAGTAGTTGAATTGATTTAACTTACATCGTATTTTACTGAATTATCATGTAGTTTTGGTTACAGTTCGGTGTGATTAAGTGAATGTTTGAAAGTGATTATTCACATTACAATTAACGTTAAATTACCATATTATCATGTTTTTTACAATGTGTATCAAAATTCCTTTGTAGTGTTTTCTGTTGATTGGTTAACTTTCGTATTTTAACTAAATTTAAAATAAAGTGCCACCAGTAAGACGAAGAACTGTGAGTGGCTGGAGGGAACGCAAACGAGACCGCTGGCATCGAACCTCCCAATTTGAGGGATACATAGTGGCAGTACTGCCGTGGTAATACATACAATCTCAGACAAATGAACGTTACATTTTTACATAAGGGTTGCGTAAATTTTAAGCAAAAAAAGCCTGGCCGAGACAGTTCAATTTTTACTCTTTGTTGCCATAAATTAAAGGTTCGTTTGTAACATCATTTGCGGAATTCACCATACTTTCAGGAACTTATTTGGAAAGTCCCAATCTGAAAAAAAATCTTCAATCCTTAATCCCAACTTACCAAAGTGACCTGAAATATATGACCTAAAATGGAGGTTTATAAATTTTAAATATAAGGAAAATTTTAAAGGGAATCTTAATTTCTTCAAATGCCAAAAAGAGCTAAAGATTTGTTATAGTTGTGTAAGGTTTTTGTGTATATTATGTTTAACTCTAAATTTTACTGTAAATTATACTTCATGTTCTCATCCTGCCTTTTAATTTTTTCCATTATTCTGAATCATTGAGAATTTCACATTACTGATGATTCAAAATCTAGTAAATTCTGCAATTCAAAATGGATGTTACAAAACAACATTCACTCCAAACTATTCCGTTAGTCATTAGTTAGTATTGGACAGATCGTGAACAGAATATATTCTTTTCTTTATTACTATTGGCTTAGATGTATGCCTTAGATGTTTGCTAATTAACTTTTTATTTAACTCTGAATGAGACTAAAAGCATTATTTTGGGTTTTCAACAATTTGTCCATTTTCAGGGAGAGTCACACAAACCATAAGTATAACACTAGACATAAGAACCTAATTAAGCCCACTAGCCATAGATTATCACTATTTGAAGCATCACCTCAATATATTGGACCAAAATTGTACAACTTAGATCCTGATAATTTAAAAAACATTACAAATCCAAATAAATTTAAAAAAGAATGTAAAAACTGGTTGCTAACCAAAACATTTTATTCTTTAAATGAATTTTTAAGTGGAAATTGGTAGAATGTTAAGTATTAAAATAATTTTGTTTTAAATGGAATATTATTATTTAGCTTTAAGTATTATAATGTAATTGACAAATGTCCTGTCATTTTGTGATGTAATGGCATTCTGTAAATAAATAAAATAAATAAATAAAGCAGTTTTGTTTATCAGAGACAGAGCAGAGCGTGGAGACTTGTTCACAAGCTGATGAAACCCTTGCGGTTGAAGAGACAATACTTCGCCCTGAGGATGATGATGAGGTCTGTATGTCTCAGCATTCACTCATGGTTAAAAATTAGGGATGGGCCCATTCCGATTTTTGATACTTTGATACCTTCAATACCAGGAGGATCGAAGAATCGCCGATATTCGATACTTCGCTTAATTGTACTCGATACCAATTCTGAAAAAGAGGTTAATTATGATGCAAAACTCGACTGACGTTGAAGGTTGTAAAGAGTGGCACATCATAGTTTATTTGGAATACTCTGAAGTCAGCTAATATAAATAATTCCAAGTTCATTAGCTCGCATTCGTAATCATTTTATTATACATAATAGCGTGCCTTTGCATTTCACAACAAATGAAGAGTTCAACTAACAACTAGTAGAACACTAGTCGAATGGTAGAGGCTTATCAATTGCCGCCATGTTGTCAGATCAAGAGCAATGTTGCCAGATTGGCCAGATGGTACAAGCATTGAATATATAAATCTAATTCACAGAAAGTACATATAGTCAATGGTACTAGTATAACTTGCGTTTTCTAACTCCTGATAGGCTTGATGTACTTTCTTTAAAGGCTAACCTAATCTATGTATGCTTAACACGTTCGCTACCGCAAGAGTAAAAAAATTTTCACTCATATGGACCAGCGGCGCACGTATGCGACAGCCGATTTCTACCCGTCGACTGCTGTCGCATATATGCGACAGCTGGTCACTTTAAAATAGACTGACGTCGCATATTTGCGGCAGTGTCCAATGTTATTAAAAAGCAGGGTTGCCACCAGTCATGAAAACCTTGAAAAGCTTGAATTATGATTTTGTGAGACCATGAAAAAAAGCATGGATTAGGCATGAATTTCTCTGTTGGTCACATTAAAATAGACTGTTGTCGCATATTTGCGGTGGTGTCCAATGTTATTAAAAAGCAGGGTTGCAAAAAAGCGTGGATTAGGCATGAATTTTATTTTTCCATTTGACCATGCATTTTATTAGGAATAATTTACTCAACCAATACTATTAAATTTGTAAAATAAAAAATGTTTTATGTTTTAAAAAAGTTTGTGAAAACCAATATAAAGAGAATTCTGTCTGGAGATGATTGAACGGAGCGAGCGAAGCTCTTTGGGATCAACTTCAATGCAAACAATATAACACCATCACTCAATAACGGCTGAACACATTTCAGCTAAACTTAACAAGATTACTTAGACTAATAGTGAGATGGTTTGTAAACAAACAAATTTTAATTACATAATGTTAATGCAATTTAAAACGAACTTAAAATTTCCAATTTTTAACATTAGGCTTATGGGACTAAAGTAGCCATGACAGTTTTATGAATTAACAAGAAAAATGTAAACAAGAGAATCATAAGGTATTTCTGAACTTTCTAGACTTTTCTTTAAAGGTTTTTAAACCATTCCTACAATCTTAATACACAAGAAAATACAGTTAAAACATCTTTTTAAGGTGGGGAATTCACTGCAAATTGCGAAAATATACGGAACTACTTTCTCAATGCGCGGAGCATATCGCACGTCAAGAAACAAGGATCTGAGTGATATGGACCGGTGACTACTTACTCTTGGGCACCTATTATTTGTGTTGCCAGCAAGGATTTAATAAGCGATATATCGAACCGCATCAAAATCGATATTTTTAATCCGATAATACCTCACAGGTTATATGTTGAACTACATCGACGGTACAGTAAGTTGTTACACGTATTAATAAAACGCAGATTGAACACTGATCTAATTTAGGCATTAGGGGAAGGTCGGTCGGGGTTTATGAGTATTCGTGACTACATTAAGTGTTTTAAAGTAAGGTTAGATTAGGAAGGTAAAGTGTAGGTTATAGGTAGGAGATCGGGTTGTTTATTTGTGTTGCACCATATGATTTTTTATCGTTTGGAATAGTTGGTTAAACGGGAAACGATTTAAAAAATGGTTGCATATGGTCTTAACAAACCATCTACAGTATTCTAGCATTGACTTTATATAAAGTCTATGATTCTAGCAAATTACTACATACAGACCAAAAGAAAAGAACATTTGGATTTGGACCTTTGACTATAGCAAAACTAACATATAATTTATGATTTGTGAAAAGTTGTATATCATTAAATACTATTCTGTAATATTAATAATTGTTCGGCAAATCCTCATTTTAATGGCTTGGCTGAAAATGGAATCTGCATTTTGTGAAACAGTAAACAATTCAGTAATTTCAAATGTTTATAACAGTAGCCTATCCTATATAAATACTGTTATTTGATTGCCAAGCCACAGACTATACATACGTCCAGTTACAACCATAATAGTAAGTAAATAATTAATTACCTAGGCTTATAGAAGTCCACTTTTAACCTTGGTATGAATAATTGTCTAGGCCTGTCCAGAAGTAGGCTACTAATTTCTAATTATATAGCCTATTGAATAATTGTTTGTAGTTTATTAGGAATGAATTTTATTTATTCTTGCTATCATTCGTTATTAGGAATATAACTTACATAATATTTAATTAATTCATTCACTGTACTGCAATTCGTTTGGTTCTAATGTCACAAACAGCCGGGAGATGGACCGGCCAATGCTTAGTCGCTTAATACAGTATTTTCCATTCGCCAATCGCGGGAGTAGCTGTCATCAGACTTTATTATAAGTTAAGAAGATGGCGGTCGCTGAGGCTACTATTGATTAAGTAGCATTAGCCACTAGATGCACTCCCTCCCGAATGTTGCCAAGCTTCTAATGAAGGCGGTGATTATATGTGATTGACACATATAATCACAAGAACAATCAATAGAAGAAATAATATGTTTATGACACATGATTATTATTGCAGCGTGGGTAAATAAAAATATACTTTAAACGTCTAATAAACAACGCAAAATACGCTAAAGATTGTAAGGAAATTTCTGAATTAAAGGCTGATTAATTTGGGTTGTTTAGATTAGGCCTTTGTTGTGACAAAATACGATGACGTAAAAAAACTACAAATCTAGGGGTGAGAATTGCCAGTGTGATGTTTTCAATTTTTGTACACATTTGTATTTTTGTATGTATATATTTTAAATTAAGTTTGGTCAATACAATGGGATGCCTTTACTTTACACTAATTTTGTTAAACCTTAACAAAACGAGTATACACTTAGAAATATTAACTGGGTAGGGATGCTAATTTAGGGGTTTTGACCAAGAACTAAGCTTACCTCAACACACCTTTATTTGCATTTTCATATTTGAAGAAGACAATATCCAAAATTCTAATCAGGAAAGCTTTTTTTTATCACCATTTATCAATAATCACAAAACCAAACCTACCTTAATAAACCAGTATTTATTCACAAACAATTATACGTTTGCTGCCTTTAGCAGAGTTAAACCTATGGAGGGATTTAAATTATTTATTGAAAATAACATCAGCAAATGCAAACAAAGACAAACAACAAACTGTTTTTTACACAAAAGAAATGATGTATAGGGATACTATATTCTGACACAAAGATATATAATTCTGAGTTTGTTTGAATATTAAAATAATTTGTTTTATATTATCGAGCCTTTTAGGGACTTATGTCCCTACAAGCCACTAGTATATCCATAAACGTGTAAACTACAACAGTTTTCATTTCCTCCACAAGAATGACATGGGAATTTTAAATTACACTTTTTTTTCATTTTCAACTGTTAGGCATACAACAGCGCTTCATTATACTAAATTATTTTTTTTTCAAGCTCTACCACGCAGCACATAACCACAGGTTCCACCACGGCGCGTGCCGTGGTCGAAAGAAATTACAAACATTTTTGTTTTAGAGTCAAAAATGGAAAAATAAAAAAACCCATTTTTACCCAATAAACCCCCGTTTCTATGGTCGGATCATGCAAATAAATGTAGGTAAATAAATAAATTGCTTAAACACCCAGCCAAAAAAATCATGTTTTATCCCCTGCATTAATGTCATGAATAATCCTGTATTATTCTAGTTGATCGTATTGCATAATGTCCTTAGTATTATCATTGACTATTGGATACAGAAGTTGTATTAATAGTCAAAGGTATTATACTAAGTGGTTTTATCCACAAAGCTAAAAAAATAAGGTGTCAAGCATCTGAAATTATGTTTTATCTTTTATCGCACATTTTGTTTCAATCCTGTGCAATGGTCTAAAACCTTTCCTTGTGACTAAACAACAACACATCAGAAAAAACAAAATACCGAACAAAGTATTTATAAAAGTTTTATAAATGTTTATTTGTAAGTGGTTAGTTTGTGGTGTCCACACACCACATTTTCCATACACGGCCTCCCAATAATTTATTGAACCACATTCAGTTCTCGGGAAAACTCAGCTAAGATCAGTCGAATGACTAAGAATGAACTAAGTAATTGTTTCTGTTCTTGGATTTTTAGCGAATTTCCCTATAGGGAAGTAGCTATTACCGTAGGTCTCATGGTAAGACCTAAGCCCGGGACCGATTTACTTTTTCATTTTGATGTCCCCAGAGGCCAAAAACACCATTCGTTCAAATTTTTATATATCTATATATAGAGATATATATATTCAAGTTTATCCCGCCTTACACCTTCAAACCAAATTTTATCAAAATCGGACAAAAATTACTCAAGTTATCGTGCGGATGGACACATATATATATATGTCCATCCGCACGATAACTTGAGTAATTTTTGTCCGATTTTGATAAAATTTGGTTTGAAGGTGTAAGGCGGGATAAACTTGAATGAGTTCGCGAACCAGCATGATCGGACTATGGGAACGGGGGTTTATGGGGGGTTTTATGGGGTAAAAATAGGTTTTTCCCATTTTTGACCCTAAAAACACAAAATTTCACAATTTATTTTTGAACCATTTTGTAGAGCTTAAAAAAACAAATAATTTAGTATATTGAAGCATTATTATGCGCCTAATTGTTACGGAGAAAATTCAAAAAAATTGTAATTTTAAAATTCCCATGTTATTCTTATATGGAGAATAAGTCAACTGTTGTAGTTTGCTTGTTTATGAACATATTTTGATAAAAGTTGGAAAATACATTAATTTCTTACTAAACCACAGTAGCCTTTTAATATTCTAAATAAAAAAAACAACTTTTTTACCCTCCCCGTTGCAGCAAACCTAAGTACTCATTAGACTAGTTCTGTTTAAATAGGGAATAAATGTAATATTTTTAGGAGACATTTTAGTTTAAATCCAATCAGGCAAATGGAAATTCGCTAAGTCTGCAGGTTTGCTGCGGCGGGGTATTTATTTTAATAACTAGGATTGCTTTCAGAGAGGTGAAAGCCAGTTGAGCGGAACAAAGGTGATTTGATATTTGTATAAGTAACTAAATGTAAAAAAAGTCAATAGACGTACCATGCTTGTTTTTTTTTTATTTACCTCTTCCGAAAGTGGATTATGGTAGTTTTGACCAGGAAAATATTACAGTAGTTGGAATCTTGATATTAACATCCAAAAAGGGCATTAAAGTATACAAAAAAGAGAAAGGATATTTAACATTCAAATTCAACTGTAGCCTACAATAAAAACATTCACCCTTTAAAGTATTTAAAGTTCGTTTTAAATTGCATTAACATTATGTAACTAAAATTTGTTTTGTATGGCTGGCTATATGGTGCAACAGATTTCATGTAGTTGTTTGTGTTCGTACTTTCAGTGTAAATAAGTCATTATAACTTAGTAGGTCTAACAGATTTATTATTATGTTTTATAAATGGACGGAATACAAATTAATTTGATCGCATATTCTCGAGTGAGATTAACAGACTTTTGTGCGAAAATGACAGTGAAAGTGACTGCGAATCGGGTGGCGCCGGCGTAGGCCTAGGCCTATCGGACAACGACAGTGGTGATGAGACAGTGTTTGTGTTTTACATAAATAGCTGTAAAACATAGACTATTGTAGATATAATTATAAATAAAAACCATTTATGTAGGGAATTGAATAAAGCAAAGGAATGAAAGCAAGAAATAGTTAAAAAAATTATTTGCACAACATTTTTTAACATTGCTTTTGAAAAATGTATTTAAAATGTTTATTCTTTTTTTGCAAGATGTTTAAAATTATAATTTTTTTACTTGAAACATGTTTATTACAATAGGAAATTTAATTTATATTAATTTACATACAACTTTTATATATTTAAGTTAAAAAGCAAAATTTTTATGATTTTTTATTGAAGCAATGCAAATTAGTCTTTTTTTTATTGGATTCTAAATGCTATGCTATTGAACTAAATACCAAGTCTCCAATGTGAGTTTGAACTTTAATGTTTCTTATCTTTTATACCAGTTCAGTGTTGTTTGTGATTATGTAGTGAAAGTGGACTTTGCCAACCAGACAGACGGTCAAATGAAATATAATTTGTAAGTTTGTAAAATATGTTGTAAAATAAAGCTCTGTTATAAAATAGCTATTTATAGACAAGAGAAGAATCACAGATGAAAAGTGATAGTCAATCACACGTTGAGGAGGAGCTACAAGAACTGCGAGCTAGAAACTCTGCACTTGAGGAACAACTGAGTAAAACTGAGGCAGAGCTGAGGCAAGCTCAGGCTGTGCTGAGTAGCGTGCGAGAGGATAGAGACAAACTGAGGCTCAAGGTGGGTTGATTCCATCCCCATGTTTAAGTTGTCGCCAGTTTGGAAAACAAAATGGTCGTAGTTGAATTGGGCCACCAACAGAATGTGGTCATGTAAATAACAGATTTTTTTTAGTATGAACATTTTTAGATAAATTAAACCGATATTGTAAGATATAGCTTCTCACAATGTAAAATGGTGGTTGCCGTTGGGAGATAAATAAATAAACTATCTCATTAAAAAATACTACGGTGAAAATTCACTTGGTATTCTTTTGGAAAGTAGTCTAAGACCTGTTTCACATATACCAAGCTGTCATGTGTCGGGCGTCGTTTAACTAGCAGTTGGGTGCAGAAGAATATTGGCCCATTCATATATGCATTACTAGTGTCGTGGTCGGTTAATCACTACCCGGCAGTCATGGACTTGTCGAGGGAGTGCTGCTGGTGTCTGGTAAATGCCAAACGGGCCTGCTGGAGGAGTAGGGGTAGAGGTCTATTCATATTGTTCACATACAATCGGAACCTGTGGTCCGCCTAAACCATGTGTTTTAACTTTTGGTTATTTGGTACTGTAGTGTGCTAAGTTTTGATTATGTTGGAAGTAGATCTTGAAATACTTATTTTATTAGTTTAGTTCAAGAATACACACGTTATCTTCATACATATTTACATATTATAGTTTCAATACTCATCATAAAATAATTAAAGAATTTTTCACTGTAATTAATTTTTTTTTATAAGAATATAAAAGCCCCAACTTGGTTTCTTTTCACGTTTAAAGGATGCACCCAGCACTCGATTCTTCCCTCTTTTTTCAACAATCTATACAAGGGTAACATTGCAATCTATAATATTGAAACGAAAGTGTGTTTTTTTATTTCACGATTCTGAATCAACCACTCGACGGATTTTCATGATTTTTGGGTTGAAAGAAAGATAATTTTGAGAACTAGGGAATGTCGAAGCCATAATTTTAGTTTAGGGTCCCAGTTTTTTAGAAATTAAGTTTTAATTTTTAAAAAGTCTAGCAGCCGACGCTAAGATTCTAAACTAGCTTTTGGCATAAAATAATTTGCTTAACATAACAGCTGTAAACATTCAGCTTTTGTGTCACAAATTCAGCATTTGGATAAAAATGTAAAGACATACTTAGGATTGACTTATTTATACTTTGTGTAATGCTAATCATTGATACGTTCAATTCTTCTGTAAGAGGATGGCAGATTAATTAAATATACATAGTAAAATACTAGGATGTTCAAATTATTTTTTAAAGCAATCTTTGTAATCTTCGATTTGTTTTAGAGCAATATAATTTGTTTTAACTAACAGCTGGTTAAATATAAACTATGGAACTATGAGGTTATTTTATTTTTGTCATTGATTATAGGAAATAAGTAAGATTAGTAGAGATAATTAGACCACAGTTTAAACCAATATTAATTAAACCACAGTACAAATCGAGGCTCTGTACACGAGTCTTAATAAAAAAGGATAAATGCAAATTATTTTACTGCTCCACTTTTCAAGGAAAGATTAGAAAAATAACAATGTTTACATGTTTTAATTTTTCATGGTAGCTTTTTGTTTACAATTAATGTTTGTCTGCTTTAACTTTGTATAGATTAGGCCCGGAAATATTGATGTCATAAAAAGAAGATCAAGAATAATCAGGAATCACGATTTTAAATTACGACCACAACCTCAGCCGGGTTTTATACAAAGATAAACAGATGGATGACATAGATTGAACACAACGTCAACATTGACCTAGGATACTGCAATTAGACAAACCATCCTTAAAATCGTGTTCAGTTGTGGTTACGTTTGGGGGCACCTATATCAGCGCCCCCAAACGTGAAAATAATATCACTTTTATTTCAACTATGAATATATTGTAGTTTAAGTTAACTAATATGGGAAATTAAGATGTACATTTCTTCAATGAGGGTGTGTAATTATCAAGAATAGAACTGAAAACACTGAAAACGGTATAGATAATAAACATTGACAATTACGTCATTAGCTTTACTAGCGTGTTTACTTTTTATATTCCTGCTACATGTGACCAGTTCTTATTTTCAAATGAATGTTATTTGAACCAAACAGCTGTTTCAAAACAAACTGTTATTGTTTTTACTTTTCTTTGTTTACGCATATTTATTTATCAATTAATGCAGTGAAATTCATATAAAGGATAGGTGTGACGATTCGTTTTGATGTTAGGACACCAAAGTTTGTGTACTGTGAATTTTATTGGATATTATCGTTTTGTTTTAGGTCGTTTCTATTCAGACCTACTGGAAATTGTGTATAGTAGTTGTATTGTGGTGATAATAATTATGGAAGAGGCAGGTATGCGCTATGGAAGGTGGTATCGTTGACTAGGTCTATACACTTCTCAATTTTGACTATTACTCTCTCTACAATATGCTACTTATAATCAGTGTGCGTCTGTGCGAATCGGCTGCAAATCTCACTTCAACGCTTTTCACATCGTAAAAATTGCAGAATTGCTGTTTTATTTAAAAATTAACGGATTTAAAATGCATATCGTATAGGCCTATGATGGAATAAAAACATATTTGGTCACACAACATTTGTTTACAAGATGATTTTTTACATTAAAACTGCAAGAAACTTTGTCTTTATATGTGTAAACTAGCTGATCTGAATTGTACACGGTTTTAACTGGCTACTGAATTCCCGTACGTAGGACGGGCTAACATCTCGTATTGCTTTATTATGTACCATTGCTATCTCTACACATGCAAAAGCTGGAGTGCCGGTGTCAGTGTTAATGTGAACAGTGGACCCTTGCAGTTGTTGGCTGGAAATCAGTATAACGGCATGCAGTGTATATGTAAAACGAGCCTTAGTAAACTGTTTCAGATTGCTGGTTTAAGGATATATACTGAACAAAGTTGGCAAATTGATTTACTTTGCACATAGGGGATAAAAATTAAACAATAAAACACTTCAATACCTTCCCTGTAGCAACAAATCTAAGTACTTGTTAATGTTATTTAAGGAAACATTTAAGTAAAAATCCAATCAGTCAAATAAACATTTGCTTAGTCTGCAGAACTTCTTCGGTGGGGGTGTGTTGTTTTAGTATGTTTCTTAAGGTTTATAAATATATATTTGGTTAGTCGTCTGAGTGAACTTTTGTAATGTCGGCAAAGAGCATGTGTAGGCTAATTAAGTTACTTACTTATTTAATCATGATAACCTTTAGATATATTGTACTAATTTAATGGAAAGTAAATAAAAGAAAATACATCTAATAACGCTTAAAACCTATATTTACACTTATACCATTGACTCACAAGAAGACTGAATATATGCATAAAAGATGGTAGGTGGTGGTCAATTTCGATTAGAAACTCCAACCATCATCAGACCCAATAGGCGAATTGGGTCGTCATTAGGTTCAGTATGTTTCTTACCCAGCTTTATGTAATGTAATGTATGCATGTATATTCCCTAGTAGCACAAATATATATTAAATACATATGAATAAATATATTTAAAATCTATTTTATATATCTCAAGTGTGTATTAATGTCAATTTTATATAATATTTAAAATATATTAAATATATAAAAAATATGTTCCAGTAATATATTTTAGTGAATAATATTTAAATAAAAAATGTATTTAATATCACTTTCAAACATCCCATGGGGCTTAAACATAAAAATACCCTCACCACAGCAAACCTGCAGACTAAGCGAATTTCCATTTGCCTGATTGGATTTAGACTAAAATGTCTCCTTAAAAATATTACATTTATTCCCTATTTAAATAGAATCAGTTTAACACATACTTTGGTTTGCTGCAACAGGGAGGGTAAAAGTGTTTTTTAATGTAAAATGTTAATAGTTAGTAAGAAATAAAAACATTTTCCAAATTTGGGCAAAATATGTTAATAAACAAGCACACTACAACGGTTTACTTATTCTCCATAAGAATAACATGGGAATTTTAAATTAACAATTTTTTGGAATTTTCTCCGTAACCATTAGGCGCATTATAACGCTTCAATATACTAAATTATTTGTTTTTTTTTAAGCTCTACAAAATAGTTTGGAAAGAAATTTCAAAATTTTATGTTTTTTTGGTCAAAAATAGGAAAAACCCATTTTTACCCCATAAAAGCCCCCATAAACCCCTGTTCCCATAGTCCGATCATGCTGGTTCGCAAACTCGTTCGAATAAACTTAGGTTTACACGTTTGTACCAAATTTCATCAAAATCGGATCATTTTTGCTCGAGTTATCGCGCTAACGGACACATATATATATATATATATATATATATATATATATATATATATATATATGAATTTGAACGGATGGTGTTTTTGGCCTCTAGGGACCTCAAAACGAAAAAAAAATCGGTCCTGGGTCCAGGTCTTACCATGAGTACTACGGTAATAGCTTATTCCCTATATGGGAAATTCGCTAACACTAAATAATAAAGATTTAGTATGAAAAACACAATTATCAGTAGAGTAAATTGATTAAATAGTTCATAAAAACAAATTTTGAAAAAAAAAACTAGATAAATTTTTTGTGACCTGGATGGGTCTCGAACCTGGGTCCTCCAACTTATGGGCCTCGTACCTTACCTCTGAGCTATCTGCGACTGTTGTTAGTCTTAGTTTTCAAATGGTGCAAGAGTAGCTAACAGTTGCAATGGTTGCAATACATTAATAAAATTTTGATACTAAAGTATAATATGGTTCTGTTAATCTGTTTTGGCATCAAGTAGTTAAGTTGAATAGTGCTGTAGTGAATAGTGAGTAGTACCCACGAATACAAATACAGTTAACTACAAAAATTAATTTAAATACTATGACAAATATTATGTAATTTATGACATATTAAGTAAATCAAATAATTATTTTTAGAACGCCATATACAACCGTAATTCGTTTCTTAAAAGGTCGCCAGTCACTAGCAACCTTTTCTAGCTAATCATTCGAGATTTCTATGATCACATTCATTGTCACAT